TCTCTTTGCAATCACGTTAAAACTTGTTTCCCACACACTTGTCGCGCGGTCATAACTTTGGGTTGATCAGCCACTTGTCCGAACAGTACTCAACATACCCCAAAGTGGCCGGCACGCAAGCTGTTCCCTTTCGCTCTCGATGCGCCGCTGGCCACCTGTGCGGCCCGTATCAGCTGCAGTAGGAGGGTGGGGGATCATTCACTAGAGGGTTGCAGTTCCCGGTCATCTGCCCGGGCGGTATCTGCGCGCTCTAGCCACTGATTGTAGCGGTTGGGGATGGATGTATCGTCACGTGCCAACCCCGCAGAGATAGTAAGAGGGCGCAAGAAGCGCGAGGGCGGGCACCAGCGTGTGTTGCGGGGCGAGCAGGTACGCTCCCCTGATAGCTCGCCCCGCACGTGTGGGTGTGGGCGGGAGCAGAGATACGCCCGAATCAGAAGCTACCGAGGTGCGGCGGGCCGGGGCGGGGCGTGGCGGGGCGGGGCGCGGTAGGCTTCCCGCGACCACGCCGCCGCCGGCGGCAGTTTGGCCGTCGCGCTCTGCAGTCGTGTCGGAGTAGTGTTCGCTTGTTGTGCGGCGGATCTGGCCGCCCGCGTGCCGACCCCGTCCAGCTGCCCCTCGATTCGCTTCACGCGGTGAGTTCACTTTGGTACCTCCGACCACTAATTGCCATATGATGATGTCCTCAGTCACGAATTTATTAGTTATTCGACACAAACAGGCAATTTTACAAAATAACGAAATTAAGGCAAAGAAGGGAAATGATCGCTATATTAAAAGTGCACCCGCTTCCCCACGGCTCAAAGTGTCGCTACTGATGATCTTGCGCAACAGCAACAACTTTCCGCCCTGCTCTCATTCTCTTTGCGCTCTTCGCTCCCTGATGTGGGTCCTCAATCGCGATCCGCAAGCGGAGCGCATAGCAGCCGGAAGTGGAACACGAGCGCTGGGCGTCACGATCGGCAGATCCGCTGCCGGCGATAGCTCGTTTGTTCGTCGCCGTCACGCATGTTCATGATTTAAAACTAGGGGACCTGTGGTACCCTCGTCCAGCTATAACTTAATTCTCTTGGCGTAAACACTGCGCAGTACTTCCCTAGTAGTAAGCAAAACACTTCTGGCACTCCCCTTTCATTCCTTCAAAGACGGATTACGCAGTCTGAGCAGCAGCAACTAGGGCAACAATTTACCAGACATGTAATTTACGAGTTACTGATGGAAGCGACCCTGGGTCATCTAGAAAGTGCGCCCGTCATTCGCCGTGACGAACCTGCCATTGTTCAGCCTCTGTAAGCTCTCATAGCGCCTGATGGGTAGGCAACATCTCGCCAGCAGTGCATGCATGTATTGCGGGTTGGCCGACCCTGAGTCTCGCAGGCGCCGAGCCTCCACAACTTGCCGAAAACATATGAGAAAAAAGTGGACGTGCTTTCTGGATCATACCTGGGGCCCAGCGGGAAAACCGCAAACCTCTTTTCATTTCCAGTTACTTTATTTTTCTGGCGGGGGGATCTCGGCGGATTGAGCAAAAGCGTGAAGGAAGGGTTTGACCGCATTGGCTGCGGGCACGGTGGTGTTTTATTTTTAGCAGGTGGTACGTCGAGTGATATCTGGTACTGTGGTACAGTCCTTCCAGTTACAAAAAATACCCCCTTATTAAGTACATAATTTGGATTTATGTATTGGTTTTGTGTTTTTCTGCAAAACTTTTATTTGCCCCCCTCCCCTTTCCACTCTCTGCGCAGGTGGTTGACACCTGCATGCCGGGGCATAACGGGGACGCACTCGACGCATACAGGCGGCGCTCTGTTTTTGCGCACAATGGCTCGTTTATAGCCACCCCCTCCTTTTCCCCTGTTTGGTTAGCGCCCGCGGCCCCCGTGCCGAGCTCCTTTCCGTTATTCGCCAAGCAGAGGAACGCAACCACTCGGCAGCCCTGGTGTTCCTGATCCTGATCGTTGTGGGCTTGCACGGGCTTGCATAAGCTGCATTCTCCTCATCACTGCCGTTCTTTAGTATGACATCGTTTCGGTCCCATTTTGGGCATTCGTTTGTTTCGTTGTAGTTTTGTTGAACCTAATTCAAGCGTTCCCGTTCTATGATGAAACTTTGCCAAGTTTTATCATAGACGATTCAAGCAAGCTCTGGATAGGAAAAAAATCTGGAAGAAATGGGACAAGTTTCAATGTGTAGGAGAGATAGGGCTGGCTGCCATGATGCTTGAAGATTTCTTCCAGATTTCTTCCCGATAACGTAAATGGCCCCGCGCTAGTAAGCAATCCGCCGGTACGCTTTCATGCGGTGCGGATCACCTTTTCTCGCGCCTATTTACGCCCTGTACCGCATTTAACGAACACCTACTCATTTTCGGTGCGTTAAGTGCGGTAATGCGCCATCAATGTCCCCTTCTACGCGCTATATGCACTAGGCTCTGATCGGGTCGGGACTAATATAGTTGTGTGAGCTCTTGGATGACTGCCTTTTCTGAAAATTCTTGTCCACGGACATCTAGAGATCAGAACTAGAAATCGGGTTGGACTTGTTGCGGAAATGATTTCGAAAAGATGGGAGGACGAGAGTGGGGGAAGGCCAAAGAAGGGGAAGCGAGAGAAGGAGGGGAGGGGAGGGGAGACGCGGGAGGAGTGGGGGAGGAGAAGCAGAAAACAGCTGGGGTCCGATTGTAAATAGAGCGGAAGGGCTGCAAATGGATGACTGTTGAAGACGTTTCCGACGAAATGATTAAAGACAATGCTGCGTACTGGCTGAGAGGCACCGCAGGGAGACGAAAAGCACCATTTTAAGGGTGATAGTCGGTTAGTTTTGTCATAGTCCCATGGCAGTTGATTCTAACCTCTGCTGTATTGCCACCTCTCGAACAAAGGAAGGCCTTCTTTGTGCTGTGTGGTGATTCATTCAGATCGTCACGCAGTGCTGTTTGTTGTTCTACGGTCACATAGCGTGCAGCAACAGTTCGTTTTGTTAAAAAAACAAAAAACACGTTATTGTATCACACACTACTACAACTGGAAAGCTTTTAATAATCCTGAAAATCATTTGTTCCTTTATTTTTATGTTCATCATAATATGATTGCTTTTCTCATTACAGGAACAAATAAGAAATAGTTATTTACTCCTCTGATTGCTGCAACACGATCCTTCACAATGTGGAAACCACTAGAGGCAGGGAGCTCACCCGTCGACTGGTGTGAGGGCAACTATCTCATATCACCAGTTATTGCTGAATTTGTAAATACAGTAAGTTCAATTTTTTCAAATCATGAATCTCAGTTTAGAAGGGTTAGTTTTAAAGTTCAATGCAACAAGTAATGCCTTTTCTCTTATTTCCTACAACAGTTTAGCAATGTTTTATTTTTCCTGATGCCACCCGTGCTCATGCATCTATTTCGTGACTATGGGCGCTTTGTAAATCCCGCCATACATGGTATATGGGCCATGTTAATGGTTGTGGGGGCAAGTTCTGCTTATTTCCATGCCACTCTGTCACTCACTGGTCAGCTTCTTGATGAGTGTGCAATTTTATGGGTTATTCTTGCAGGCTTTGCAATGTTTTTACCCAGACGTCATTTTCCTCTCATAGCCCAAAATGACAGGTACCAGTTATTATTATTTCTTCAATGTTTATCATATTTAATTTTCTTGTTTTAAATCCTTTGTACTGCTTTTTCAGAAAAAAACTTAGTGTTGGCTTCTTGGCCTTAGGAATCTTTGCAACTGGCTTGGCTGTTGTTCATCCAGCCATAAATGCCTTTGTTCTCATGGTTCTTGGCATTCCAGCACTTCTCTTCATGGTTTTGGAGTTAAGAAGGTACTGATTCTAAAGTCAACATTAGTGTTCTGCTCTTACAATGTATTTTATCATGTTGCTATTTTCCTTGTTTCAGAGTCAATGATGGGCGTGTGTATCGTCTTGGAGTACGTTGTTGTGCTGTGTGGCTTCTGTCAGTGTCCTGCTGGATCAATGACCGTCTGTTTTGTGAAGTTTGGTCTTCCATTAACTTTCCCTACTTGCATGGGCTCTGGCACATACTCATATTCATTGCCTCTTATACAGTTTGTGTATTATTTGCTTACTTTTCTGTCAAAGATGAAAAGCCGTTGAAAAAGCCAGTATTGCGTTACTGGCCACGCAACGATTTTGAACTTGGGATTCCATATGTCACTATTCAAGACTGTGCCCATGGGAAAGAACTCATCAATGGAAAAGATGTGTATGCATGATGGTTGATGCATGATCTTACATATCTAATGTATTTTATTGGTGCTATATGGTCTACCTGCAGTCAGATTGATTATTCTATCTTTTATATTTTCAACCTGCCATGTTTATAGTCGCAATCTTAGTTTTATTGAAAGTATTTTCATACTTTATAAGTTTTAAAACCAAACCAAATACTGCTTTTGCATTCCCAGTTTTTCTATAAAACTTTAAGGGGGAAATATATGTGATGCATCTATAATTTTTTTATCCTACCTCTACAGTCTTGTAGCTACTCTACCATATATGAAGGTATTATTTTTAAATGCCCTGTGATACTTCAGCACCAAACGGACGCCATTGTTTGTTTTGATTGCCCCTTATCTCATAACATTTAAGTATACATCAGATATGTTCAAGATTACATTTCATCTTATCTAAGTGTGTATACATTTAAAAAAATGTCTTGAAATAGTCTTAGAAATTAACTTATCGTTCCTGTCTTATTTTGCTAGGAATTTGGCCTTTTGAAGTATTGAGTTTCGAGCATGTGTTATCCAGTATCATTTATGTTTGTTCCAATTTATGAACATACCTTCTTGTAAAGGTGTATAGTATTTTCCATGGTACGTATTCTTCAATGTGATAATGAAGTTTTTTCAATTTAGTTAGTTATACCTATGATATCTTTGTTTTTTATTTCTTTTAAGAAAAAAATCTGGAAGAAATGGGACAAGCATCAATGTGTAGGAGAAATAGGGCTGGCAGCCATGAGGCTTGAAGATTTCTTCCAGATTTCTTCCCGATAACGTAAATGGCCCCGCGCTAGTAAGCAATCCGCCGGTACGCTTTCATGCGGTGCGGATCACCTTTTCTCGCGCCTATTTACGCCCTGTACCGCATTTAACGAACACCTACTCATTTGCG